TGGAATCTGTTAATCTTAAATCAATTTAAACTACCTGAAGACTCCAACCTTTTGTTGGCAGAATTTACAATATGTTTAGTGGACAAAGGGAATAGGGAAGAAAAAAATTAACCTCAAAATCATGACATTTCATTGCCCTGCTGGATGATGAACTTACAGAAAAAAACAGGAGGATGTTTCAAGCTATAATGACTTGGATATGGGGTCAAGCATTTTTAAAAACAAAACCATGTTCTGAATAATTATTAGTAGTTCAAAGTCAAGTTCAAAGTGCCTGCTTAGAGACCAAGCCTCATATGATCTGTAGGCACAATACAAGCAGACAGGCACTTAGTCTGTCTGTTTGTATTGTGGGATATTCAGGGAAAACAGTTTAGGAGCCTACCTCCAGTTAAAATTAGTCAGAATTAGAAGCCTAATTGTTTTGCAGACTTCACAAGGCACCTTCCTGCATCTTCAAGCACCCAAAAGAGTCTATTTTGGGCACAATGCTCACCTCTGGTTTTATCATTAATTCTGAAGGTAGAATGGAGAGTGAAAGAATCAAACATGCAGAGAACTGACTGTGGGTGGAAATATTGGAATAATAATAAAAATATATCATATGAGCTTCATTAATCAAATAATTATTTCAAACAGAAACATAATTAGTAAATATGACATCTAGTATAAACAAATAAAACACAATATAAACAGGACAAAGCAATATAATGAGGAAACTAAAGATAACAGATAATCTGCCTGAGTAGAAACAGGCTGAACAGCGAAGGAACAAGAAGCTACAGCAAATGATTTATTAAATATGAACTCACATGGTGGACAAGGATAAAAACTCCTTTGCCACTGAAACATGACACAGCACCGGAGAGAAGCATCTTGCACTGGAAAAGGGTTTGCTAAACAACCTATCTGGTCAGCCATATCTGTACCTCTCATACATACATAACAGAGCAAGTTGCATAAATCCCAGTTTTGTAAGTAAATGTAAGTTACATGTAACCATATCAACCACTCATCTTCTGAACTAATTCTATCCTCAGAACTGCACATTCAACTTAGTTCTGGCCACCACTACTTAAATAAAACCCTTTGGAGACTTCTCAGAGAAAGAAAACGAGCTTAGTAAAGAGCTGAAGAAAACACAGATGAAAGAAGCCCCAGTAACTGTTTACAGACATAGAAAGAAGACATTGTTATCCACTAAGAACAGAGCAAGAGCTGCTGTTCTTAGACTGCAGCAGATAAAATTCAGGTTAAATAACTAGAGAAACCTGAAAATTAAGTTTTTGACAAAAGAATCAGCATCTACAAAACACTATAGGATCAGTGTCTCTGGGCACATGCAAGGTTGCATTAGTCACTGATCCATCAGAGATCATAGGAAGGTTTGAGTCAATTCTCATTTTGCACAAGGAATGGATCTGAATACGTATCTCAGCCTCGGAGGGACTATGAATAAAGGATACAATAAAAACATACGTTGTTATGCTAAAATAGCAGTTTATACTGGAATAATACTAAAAGAAGACAAGGACATATTGGTAAAAGGAAAACAAAGAAACAACTCCTTTTAGAGATGGGCAAGGGAAATCTTCCATAGATAGAGGGACAGAAAACAAAGATGGAATTATATACATAGGTAAGTCTCCATGGGAAGATGAGAATGAAAGCAGACAAATGAGGATGGACAGCAGGAAAGTTAATAACTTGCAGGGATTCAGCACAAACTAACTGCTCTGCCGAAAGGAAGAATATATATCTGGAGTCATAAAGCTCAGGTGCTACAACTGTTTGCAACTTTTAAACAAGAATACAAGTTTCGAGATAAAATTTCAGAGAAGCCCTTTTCTTTTTCTTCTTTTTTCTTTTTTTTTTTTTTTCCCTAATAGTAAACAATATATAATAAACAATACAGAAATAGAAGAAATATTTTTAAGATGACTGCTGTGGTAGAACTGATGGTTCCCCAGTTGATCATCTGACAACGACATGACATCAATTCTTATTACATACATAGGTATTCATACATTCATTCACTCTGTTCCTCCTTTAAAAATCACATGCCCAGTTTATCATGAACAGCTGTGGTGGCATATCTTCCACTTCTCTTGCTTGACATCAGAGGCTTTGCTTTGCTCCTCAAGCCCTACTTTTCCCTACGCTTTAAGGCACCTGCTCTACCTCCTAGGCAGGTACTCAAGCCATGTCTGGATCTGCTCTCGTACAGCAGCTGACCCATTCGGCTACGTCACCATTTCCAGCCTATACCCACCCCACACCAGGCTGCCCTGCCACTTTCACTATTCAAGTGTTTATCCCAAGGGAGCTCAAGGCACAGCACTATCCGATGCAACTGGTTGAATATCTGACCAACTAGTTTTCCACTTGCTGATTTGATGAAACAAGGCATTTCATGATTATGTGAGCAATTTTATCAATGCTCTGAATAGTCAAACATTTTATTCTGAACTTCTGATACAGTATAGGCTCAATAAAATCAGCTGAAGTATTTCAGAATATTTAATTCCATGAAACAAGCAACCAACCACTTTTTCTTAAAAACATAGGATGACAAAACGTTTTGAACTTTGAAAACCTTCCTCCATATAGAAATTCTACTTTTCCAGTCAGATTTTAATATTGGGACTAAGTTTAACACTGGTATATAGCTGAATGTCTCTTCCAAAAAAGGCAGCCTTTTCAGAAGTAACATTGCTATCTTCCAACATAAAGGGCAGTGTCAGTTGGGTACTGCTCTTGCATCATATTAGTGACACACAGACTAGTTTTTCCCATAATCTTTTTATTACTGATGAAACCTGGTGATATATTCTTGTTTCCCATAAATATGTACATGTAACTATGAAAAAAGAACAGAGTAGTTCTTCACTACAAATCATTTTTTGTGCCCATGCAGTTAAATAGGAAAATTAATTTGGTTTAGAGATGTTCATGCTTTCTTCTTTGTGGTCGCTTTCCAAACTTAAATATCAGAACACTAGCAGAAGCAGCAACCTGGAGGTAAATTAAATAATATACAGAGAAAATAGAGTCAACCCCTTAAGGTAATTATTTATACCAATAATGTGATTGTGGGAATCATGTTTTCCCAAATAGGAAACAGATTCACTATTTTTGACCTGAATGTTTCCATGTAAAATAAAACTATCTGCCCAAAACATCTGCACATGGAGTATCACAAACTAATTTCTAACCTACCATGATTAGATTGAGATTTATCTATAAAAATATTCAGCAAGCGATTTCAAAGAAAAAATCAATTCTAGAAATCCACACAAGCAGGGAGGAGGCCTCAACTTAAACCAATTATCCACAATTAATTGCATGTAATATTTCTACAGAAAGTTAACAAGGACAGAATATTACTTCAGGATGATGGGATTATGATTGAGACAGTTCTTTCCTTCTGGTTCACAGTCAGGTAAAACAGTTCTGCTACCACATAACCCTCTGCTTAGCTATCTACAAAGGAAAAGGAGAAGTCACTGCGTAAAGTCTGGATTCCAAAACTCCTTATGACTCACTCTTTAACTATAAGGTTTTTTTAAATGAAGGTATCAGCCAAATGAAATAGGAAAGTTTATATTTCCAAAACCAAAGAGGAAATTTATGCTCCAAAATGTAAGCCAAGGCAAAATTCCATCAGTACAACAATGTACCAGAGCCTTGACTTCAGCCCAGATTTCTGCTGCCTGCTTTGATATCTTAGTTGTGCAAATCACTACTATGCACATTGTGAGTTCTATGTAAGATCCAAAAGCAAAGCATTATAAGACAATAAAGAGTCATTAGGTTCAAAATTACTACAACTGACAAGTGTCCTTGGATTTAGAAGGATGTTCCAGAAAAGAGATAAAGACACTTATGCATATACCAGCAGAGGAAAACTGTGGATTTCAGCAAAATACATACTGGGCTCCCAGAGAAGTCTTAGAAGACACATTTTAGTTCTTCCAACATACAAGGACAGCTATTTAACCACAGCAGAAATGTCTTGACTCTTCCTGTCCTAAAGAGCTCTTCCTCCTTGATCATGTGTTCAGACACTCCTATCCATGTGCAAGTCTTTCCACTTCTACTCATTGCCCTTAGAATATTCACCTTGCTGAAGAAAAATACCCAACATGTCCATCACTGTACTGTGCAGAGTCACCTGGTCTCACCAAAAAAGAATATGACTTGATCACATGGAATATAGTTCTTATTTACCGTGAATGCTCCTTATTTCTTTATGTTTCTAAAAATAAGCAGGAAATGCCTCCATAGATTCACATAGTAACAGTTTGTCTTTTAAGGTTAGTAATGTTGCAAGATAGGTAAATAGTAGAGAAAGGGAGATTCTAATTGTCCTTAAAACCACTAAAACATTTTTGGATCAGGGAAGCGAAGACCACCTGCTATTCTCCTACTTCTATTAACTCTTCTTAGCTTATTATCTTATAGGATAGAAGGCACCCAGTAGCACAAATTATTATTGCATGTACACTCTACAGTAAGTCTTAAGGTGGAAGACCTCAAAAGCATGTGGGTAAGATAAGTGCCCTTCACAGAAATGGCACAGTGAAGCAAAAAAGAGTATCAAAAGAAGAAGGAAAGCACCAAGGATTAGACCATAAAAAAAAATATATCGTGCATCAAATATTGGACTCCTTCCTCATACTAGGACTCTGGTTTCCTTCTTCAGTTTGGGCATTGGGTTCTGGTATAATTTTTCAGCTGGGGCAATGCCTTACTTCACCTGCAGTCGTATTGCGAGATGTCAAACAGCATGGCCATGTTCAAAGGGAATATGTATCAAAACAAAGCATTCCAGCAGTGTTTGTTTCTTAGGAGGGTTCAGCTCCTGAAGATGCCACAAGAGTATTTTCTGAGTGAGGGATGAGAATAAGACCTTCAAAATTTAGCCCAGTGAGATTTTAAAAGGATTGAAGGAAAGAGAATCACCAAATATATGAAGAGATACAACAAGGGTGAAGTACCTTTGTCGGAGATTTTTGAGTTATGCTTTTGTTTGTAACTATCTGAAACAGAGAAAGAAATAGAGGGTGAATCTTACATGGGGGAAAGGAAGACAAAAGGCAGAGAAGCCAGAAAAAGACAAGGAGAAAGAGAAAGAAAATATAAGAGATGATTTATTATAGGGCAAAGGGAAGTGGAGTCTTGCCGAGGACTTAATTTTGTTTCCTTCATGCAAAAACACCAAGAGCAGCAGCAGCAGCAGCAGGTGGCAAACATGCAAGTCAGAGAGCAGCCGAATATTTTGCTGGAAGGAAAAAGATGAAGCCCTGAGTGCACCGAGCTGGTAGGACCAGGCTGGAAGCAGAATCAGCTGTCTAGGTGCTACTTACTGTCACAAACATAGGGTTTGTCATGATCATCCTGGGAGGCAGCATCATTCCGTCTCCTGCCACCTCCAGATCCCCGAGCCTGCAAGGACAAAAGGAATGTTAACATTATTCCATCACCTCTCAGGTCTCCTTGTGCCCCTCACCCTCCTATGAAAAATGTGCAATATAAACTAAACAAATCCTCAGCTTCCATACAGGTTTGTCAAGGGTGGGCTTGACCCTTTATCTCCTAAAATATGCACTATGTTAATGGACCTTGTAATGCAGTGGAGATAACCCAAACTGTTCATCCACAGCAGTAGGTCACTGCCAGCACATATTCAGTCGAGTATCATCACACATTCATTTCTGAAGATGTTCAAATACCTTGCTTAACTGAATATGAATGAATGAATAGATGAACAGGTGTTAGAGGATAAATACAACCATTAAAATCGGCCAGAAAACAGGCCCCAAATAAAACAGAGGTGAAATTATTTCCTTTAATATTTTCAAAGGGGGGGTTGTTTGTTTTGTTTTGTTTTCTAGCTGAAAAGCAATGTTTTGAAATGGCCTTCTAGGACAAAGATACCACGGGTAATTAGAAAATGGAGCTTTGGTCAGTTAGTGGAAAAGATTAGGTAACGTGGCTACCTGCAATAACAGAGAACGGGAATTGCCCAGAAAGGTCTCTCCGTAGTTCTGTGTTCCTACGACGTACCAAGTTGGCAGCCCTGGAAACTGAAAAGCTCTGTTTCTCCACAGCACAGACTGCTCTGTCCTGAGCTCCAGGGGTAAGAGTGGAATTCATCATCAAAGCTACTTGGTCCTGACCATTCTCAGCTGAGATGCCAACAAGAGGACAGCTCATATCTGTCCAATGGTGGAGGTTGTGATGTGGAACTGGGAACGGAGCCAAGGCCTTCAATTCTTTCACATTCACTAATGTACAGTATGTAGATGACAATAATTTTAGACTTGATCCTTATTTGAGGAAGTGATCTGCTGGTGGATGGCTAGACAGCCCTTTATTAATTATGCCAGCTACTCTATTCCTGGGTAGAAGCAACAAAACTGTTTCTGTGGCTCCTCTTATTAAACTGTTGATGTTTCTCACACTGGACAAGGCTGCCTGACTCAAATCCTTCGAGATTTTGCATGTGAAAATAAGAAAGGGACAGAGCTTTGTCAAGTAAAGCTGGAGAAGATGTAGAAATTCTGAGAATATTACTACCCCAGACACAAAGAGGGTCATAGGAGCTCTGTCCCTCTTCTATGGATTTGGGACTGAACTAGCACTATTTGAGCTGCATTCCATCGGACATCTAAAGACAAGGAACAGTTTTACAGTGGCCTGCCAAAGTCTGTCAAAATGGGGATTTATAAAAGCTTCACATATTATTTCCCTGGGATTGCCCAGGTCTAACTCTTAACACAGTCCTGAAGGAGACACATGGATTTGCAGCTGTCTGGATGGGGTAAATACTGTTAGGTGTGACAAGTATAGCTCTGTCTTCTGCAAAGACCTCTGTGCAGATCAGCATGCACGTGCAGAGTGAGATTTGTAAGGGTGAACTGAAAAGCAGTTTCACCCTGGAAAAGGCCCCAGCAACAATTGTTTGGTGGAAGCTACTTTACTGACCATATCACATAAAATCATCTTACTAGTCTGTGTTATTTTCTCTCTGACTGCCAGCTCTGTAAACCCCCTCTGGGCTATGAAATCAATCCCAGGCTTGTTCTTTTCTTCCCTGACTACTGCAAAATGTGCTGCAAGCTGCATTTCAGTCCATGGCAGTTCCTATACAACCCTCAGCTGATCAGAGAGTCTTCATAAAGACAAGTGATTGGCCCTTAATATATATTCCTGCTTGTACCTGGATCAGGATCTAATTTCCCTATCCTACCAGCTGCATTGGCTTTTCAGGGCTGTGAAAAAGCTGTAAAGTCTTGTTTTTGTCACTAGTCAGTAGGTCTGACTCTGTTTACACACTGAGAATGGATCTGTTGAGTAAGAAGGTACTATTTTTACATAGGAATCTTTCAGAATAGGATGGCAATTTAAGGTCTGTTGCTCAGAGTTTCACTAGTCTTCAAGCCAGCTGTTTCCCTTCAAATTGTTCTCTACAGAAACACAAGGGTACAGCATTCATGTCATGACCACACGTCAGATATACTTTTTCATGCACTGAACACACACGGGGAGATTTTTCAAGTCAATGACTTTCAATGGGACTTGGGTTCCGAAATGTCTTTAGTGCCTTTGAAATTGTCCCATGGGATATCCAGCTGATGAGCAGACAATCTGTACAGGTGCAGCTGCATTCCTCTCATATCTCCTAGCAAACTATCCTTCCCAGCTCCTAACACATTCTCCCTGCCCAGCAAAGATACTAAAAAGCTCCTTCCGTAAATCCATCTCTTCGGCCTTCACTGTCCTTCCTAACGCTCCCACAATTTCAGGGCTAGCCTTGAGGGGATAGCAAACTGAGCAGCTGCCCCAGAGGCACTAAATTGAGTGCCCTACACTTGCTGTCGGCACTCCAGTCTGTTGAATTCAGTCATCCATGACTGCCTTCATTCCCCTGATGGGATGCAGCAAAGACTATGAGACTTGACACGTGAGGCCTGGAAGCCATGGCACAGCAGCCTTGAAGCTGCCCTGAAGCAGCCAGAGAGCGTGGCCAGAGGGACAGATGGAGAGTCCGGGATTAGAAATAAAATCATGCTGTAGGGAAAGGAAGGGGCATGTGCAATTTGGAAAGTCCAGAGCAGTAATTCTGTCGCGTTAATCCTGCATTGATGCTGTCAGCCCTTCTCACTCCTTCTCTGAATCCCCAAAGGCCACACTCTGCAGGATCTAGTTTCCTAGGCATGTCCTCCCCTCCTCTTCTGCCCTCTAAAAATACCCTAATCAACTCCTTCCCAGAAACAAAGTGCTGCCCAGGTTTCATGTCCCATAATTTCAAATCCCTCACCTCAATTCCCTACACTGGGTCAGGCTTACATTAGAAAAGAATGGCAAAACACTCGTGACCAGACGCAATTTGGGCTTACCAGTTTTCAACAGCTAGAGAATCTGGCCCTAATTTTGAAATCCTAATTTATACCACATTTTGCTTTGGTTATCGATGCCATCAAATAAAAACGAAAATTGCTCAAAGTATTTGGCACTCTTTAGACTTCCCTTTTTTTGCACTGAATGAAGCCAGGGCACTAGCAGAGCAGGAGTTAGTTGCAAGAAAAAGGCAAGAGACCCTGCTGCTCCTGTACTTAATAGGGGGCCGGTTGTAGGGCAGAAAATAGAGACATAAATTTATGCTTCAAAATGAATGGGACATCTAGTACCCTCTAACTCCTTTCCCTACAGTAGCAGAGAAAAAGTAATAGAGTAATTCTGAAACAGTTTCCTGAACAGGGGGTAAAACTTTGCACTTAACAGTAACTTCAGGACTTTGTTTGTGTAGGCCTGGGATATATGAATACAGCAATTTCCCTTCTCCTGAGCAGTATATCTCCATTAGCTATTCATTCAATTTCGCTCACCCTAGCCAGCATGTGCAATTTATGTGAGAGCAACTTATTAGAAAAGAGTTGTTAGCCTGGAATATTAGTTGATCGCTCCAGTCAAGCTTGTGTGCATGTATCGATTCTAACGCCTGGTTTTGGTTACTGGTTCATACAAATTTTCTGAAACTTACATTTTTCTGGAAAATTTTTTTCCAGGTGGGGGTCTTTGGCTAAGAAAGAAAGAAAGAAAGAAACTGGTTCAGGTGATTTTGAGAATAAGGAAGGTGAAATATATACTTATCCAATTATTAAAGTGCTTTGATCTTATATTAAAGGACTTAAGCTCCAAAATAAAGAGGAGCAGAAAACTGAAACAACACAACAACAGGAGAAACCAAAAGAGAGGGTCTGATGCATAAGTACATTGCAAGTATTCAATGTGGTTTCATGTCTCTCTCTTATTCAAAAGCTATTATATCCTGCTTATTTGGCCTAAAATGTAGCTGCTCTTGCTTAATTCCTACAAACACATCAAAAGGTACTTCTAGAGCTCCTGTGCCCCTGCAGCATCCGCTGGAGCCAAAGAGAGATGAAAATGCTTGAAACTGCTGAGAATTGTGTTCATGTTTATTTAGATGCCTAGCTTACGGGGCCACAATTGAAAATGTTGATTCTAAGTTTTAAAATGTTGGTCGCATTACTTAACTGGTACCCTGCTGAAATTGTGAAAAGACATCTTAGGTAAGAGAAGGGACACAGACTCCCCTGAGGATAAAATATTGCCCATTTTAAGCAAATAGAAGATTTGCCATGGGCTCAAGAGGGACAGTGTCAGCCACAAAGTGCTACCTTGGAGAAAGCTGCAAAATGTATTAACACAGTTCAAGTTACTTTTATTAATTATTTTTTTTGGCTGTCATGACCGGGTTTGTTGCTTTTCTGTAATTTGTAAATATTTTAAAGTAAGCACATTGTAATAGCAGGATGTCATCATAATTATTACAGTTTACATTGCAATTGTAAATACAACTCTATAATAAATTTACCCCAACTTTTACTCTCAAAATAGTCTTTTTTCTTGGTAATTCACAAAAATAAACTGAAAAAATACTGAAAATCTTTGACCATATGACTAAAAATTACCTATGTTACCATTATCATGCATCCATGGATATACACTTTGCATATACAATGCATGTGACAAATATACACTAGAAAGCAGAGGTTTGCTTCCTTCCTTTCCATTCCAGTAAACTCTCCACCTACCCGTCCTCTAGGCCTGTTCTTTCGTTTTGGAATATCTTCTTCCAAATCCTCTTCCTCATTAACTTCATCTGCATTTTCATCATTTTCTAAAACCCTCTGTGGTTGAACAATAAACAGGAATGGTTAGAAGAAAAGATGACACATACAACCAACTGCTGCTCTTTACCACAGAGACTGCAGGTTATTAAATTACAGTTGATTAACGATATAATGCCAAATCAGATCCCAGAACCCCTACTTCTTTCCACTAAAGCAAAATTTGCTTTCCCTTCCACCCTCAGTTCCCCAGGGAGTTCTTATTAAAAAACACCACTGATATCAGTCAACTACAAAAAAAAGCATCCTAAGAAATAACAGTGGCACCACTGAGCACCGATATCCCAAGACAACACAAGTATTAGTATGCATAACTGCAGGCCCTGTCTGGGAAATTGTTTGCATGATTTTTTTAATTTGGTTTCTTGCACCTGAAATTGTTTTGTTTTCCTCTTATGTTGAAAATGCACTTCACGATAAAAATCAGTGGTTTTCTCCTTGGCAGCTCACAATTTTCTTTGTTTAGCAAAAATAGAGAAAATTCCTCCATATATTCCAGTGTGTTTAGTGGTTACAGAAAGTAACATCTTTCAGGGCTTACACCACAGGTACGACTCTAATCTGGAAACAGGGGTGTCGCTGCATGAGAATGCTGAGGAAGTAGAGGTCTCATTGAAGTTAATAGGAACAACAGCAATAGTTCCTTCAATTAATTATTCAATAGGAACAATAATTCATCATCTCACATAACTCTGAGATGCCCAGGCCAGAGAATTTCAATCCTTTTATCTTGATCTTTTGAAATGTAACCCCTGTAGAATCATACACAGGCTGGCTACCCTGAGAACATGCGTAAGTTGGAGATCAGACGGACAAAGGCAAGACAAACCATCATACCACCAATGTGGAAAGAACTCCCGCTGAAATCCCCTCAACCCTTGGCATGTGTGCTAGACATTCAGAAATCAGCCCCAGCCACTCCTGCCATTCATGGTGTGGTGCCATTTCATAAGGGACTAATTTGGAATCACTGACTCATCTTTGCCATGCCACCATTCATTTAAATTACAACATGCAGCCATGATGCAGATTCAAATCAGGGACGTTAAACTGATGGGGAGATTTTTCAGTCTTACTATATTTGACCCTTCCCTATAATTTCTATTTAAGAGCTATCTGAGAGCCAGCAGAGGGAGAACAGGAGCAAATCACAGTTGGTTTCTCTCCTCCCTACAAACCTCAAGCACCAAATTCTGAATTTGTGGGAAAGAACATGACAGAAATTTTACTTGTAAAAAAGCCTGTATTTGGAAGACCAACTATATAAGTTTATTCTTATTTTATCAGCTAAGTTTTTAAGACTAATATTGGACAACGTCCCTTTTAAGAAGTACATACAACTTTTAGAACATGGTAGAGGATCAAGTCTTCATATGGTTTCTGCTCCTTTTATTTTTAAATCTCAGGAGGCTATTAATGACGTCAGACCATCATGAAATACAATTTCACATAATACTAGAGTACTAAATACTAGAGGGTGTAAAAATTAAGCAAGTTCCAGTTCCATATACATAAAATGTATCTTCAAAATTCATGGAATTGCATACATTAATTGACTTCATCTTAAGAAACTGAAGCACTTGGAAAATGTTGTACATGAGGAGACTAGTGATATGTAAGAAAATAAGCAAACTTACTGATATGAGTTTATATTTTCACATTGCTTCATATCTTACAATATCTCCAAAAAAAGAGAAGGCTGTAACCATATCTTATGTGGGAGGGGAAGGAGCTAGTTTACAGCACTAATACTACACAAGAGCAGCTAGGAGAAATACTACAAACCACTTTCTATGTTTAAAATTGCAGCATGAATTTAAGTAACCAAGTGTGAATTTGATGACACTGCCAGTGTAATGACTTTAATCCTTGATAGAAGGGGCATAGCCTTTCTGATGCATCGTCAAAAGACTATTCTAAGCCTTCTCCAGCAAATGATGGAGACACACATTCAATACCAATTTACTGTAGGGCAAAATCCTCATCACTGTTAAATACCAACTGTACAACAGGTCCCAGTGACTGCATCTATTTAGCAGGGGAACCCTTACTCTTTTTAGCAAAGTAACTTTTCTTTCCCTATTCTTTCTAAAACAGTTTCCCAGCTCAGTGCAGCTAAGCTCCAAGTCTTCTCCTGAGGTAAGTATCTGGGACTGAGGAATTACAATTATGTCTATCCCACCTGCTCACTATCACCACCACCGAGGCTGGGCACTTTCAAGTCAAAGCACAGAAGAGCGTGCAAAGGAACAACAGAGAGATTTGCATTTTCTTATTTGTCATACGGATAAAAGGCACTGATTGTGATTTTGATCTGGTACAGTCTAGCTGCCAGGTGCTGACGTACACACTGAAAGCTGGCTACTAGTAAATGCTTCAGCAACCGTTGGTGTACAGACTGAATCCAGATAAGCTGTGCTTCCGTAAGAAACAACAGCAAGACATGCCTTTTGCATCTGTTCTAATGAAACTAGCATCCAGGTGACAGGTCACAGCTACAGCAGTTTAGCTGAAAAATTTTTGCATGTTTTTGCACCCCCTCCCTACTCTGCAATGCCCAGACTTGTGTCAGTTCTATCGCCTCTATAGTCTCTTTCCTCAGACCGCTGCTGGGGATAATTTGGGAGCTCAGGTCACACAGCAACATCCAAAGACACTTGTCGACCTCATAAGGATGCTGCACCATGACTTATTCTGACTTTGGAAGTAGGTATAAATAGAGCTTTAGGGCTCTCAGTTTAATAGACCCAGATACACTACTGAAGGGCCTCATGCCAAACTTTTCCCCACTCTATGAGCATGGGATGCTTCCTCTTTGATGCTGCTCCTTTACCTGTGTAACTGGGAATGTGAGACCTAATTTTGTTGCCCTTACATGTGTGAAATTTCTAGCAAATAGACCAATAGGTCTGAGCTTCAAGTAATATAGATTTGATGCCCATGCTCTTCTGTTTCATTTGGCATGGGGCTGCCCACTCAGATTTTTACTAGTTTTAGGTATAGATGCAACATGTATCTCAGCCAAAATTACCAAGTTTGACACATTGCCAATGTCTCTAACTAAAAATCACTAATAGAGTCATAGCACAGTGCTGTTTTAGCATCACCAAAGATGTGCTGCTGCTCCCCCGGGACAGGCTCGCTTTCCCAGCAATGTAAGATATATTTATAAAGTGACATGCACTTATAAGAACCCTTTATTTTATTAGCTGAATTCCTTCTATGAGACTCACAGATGTGTTTCTACTTTTAATTGTTAAAGGATGAAATGGAATCTTGACAAATAACTTTCAAACCATAATGTGTGAGAAGAGGCAATAATTCTCATACCTGTATCACTAATAATAACTGAGATAAATAAGATTAGAATATGTTTAATTATTTATTTTTCTTGTATACTCCTGAAGGCTTCTCAGTATAAAAAAAAAAAAAAAAACAACAGGCAAGGCAATGGTATTTTTTTGTCTACAGTCAGCAGCTGTGAATCCAAATTCAAATCCATGTCCAAATTCACTTTAAATATGAGGCACTAAAATTCAGTTCATGGTTGGGAACCATCTCTGCTTGTCAGTTTTATATGCAATCATCTCATAGTGCTGCAAAACAAATTCCAACAGAGGAGCTGTGCAGAACACAGCCAAACAACCGAGATCCTTGTGACAGGAGAAGTGTGTGAGATCCTGAGTTCATTTTGAGCATCACAGTGTATGTAGCACAATGGTTTGGTAACATTTTGACAGTAGAATGACATAACTATCAACAGATGCACTGTTCTGCCACAGGACAAAATCTGCTAGGCTTAGAGACAAATGGTAAAATCCAGCCCTGCTGTCAGAGCATGGGGCTCTCCTTTACCTGGATTTCTTGTATAGTGTCTTCCTCTTTAGTGTCTGTTTTTTTCTCTATTCCCTCTCCACGCAGCAAGGCTTCCAGAGTTGTACTTTCTGAGGTGAACCCATCTTTTTTCAGAGGCAGATCAACTTCTGAAAAACAAAACACACTGACTATATTTGTCTCCCCCAGACAGCTAACAAGCAGAAGGACAGACATGACAAGCAGAAGACTGAGAGACTTTCAAGCTTGCTTCTATCTTGAAGGAGAGTTCTTCACGCACTTCTTTTAACTGCTAAGGATCTCCATACAGGATTCATTTCTGTCTTATTGAAAACCTGGCATCTTTTCAATCGCTGTATTTGCTTACAGAAAAAAAAGGCTGGACATATTGTATCAGGAGGGAATAAATGGGGAAAAAAAAGCCTTCTCCTTTATGTAAACTCCCTATGCTTCAAATAAAGAACAAAATCAGGACTTTCTAAGATACTGACAGAACAAATAAGACCTGATCTCCTGAAGTCGAAAAGTAGTTTAATGCAATTTAGCATCTGGCACAGTTTATACAGCATAGCTTCAAGCAGCATTCTCCTACACCAGGGCATGTTCCACATGTGGGGAAGCAGAAAGCTAGTGTGTGGGGCCAATGCTGAGAACTTAAACTGAAAAAAACAAAGGGATGTGTCTTGAATTTTCATGTAATATTGACTAGATTAAATCTTCAGTTTGTTTTAAATGGGCTTACACCAATGAAGAAACGCCAGTCAGCACAGCTCTGAGTGCAGAATCTAGCCCATAAAACAGGATGATCCCCAGTCGCAGCAGGAAGAGCCAAGGGCTGGCTCGGGGGAAGGCCTGGGGCACAGGACTCCAAAGACAGGGTGGGTTTAGGAGGAAGCTTGATGCAACTCACCATACAAGTGAAGGAACAGAGCCTTATTCCCCTTCTGAATGCCGCTTCTAGAGGCAGTGCAGCAGACAGGCAAATACAGCATGTGAATTTTAGCAAGATGTTAAAATACATCTAGGGGAGAATTCAGTTTTCCTTGTAGATCAGATCCTGACCTCTACCCCACTCATGCAGGGGCTCATTCAGAGCAACCCTATGGCAGGGAGACATCCTGAATGTCTCTCTACCTGACAATGCCAGGTATGGATTTCTCAAGTACTCCCTCCCTTCTAAAATTAATTCCTTCCTCTAGTCCAATAGATTTATAAAGTAATAATGTACAGGACTGATGCTCACAAATCAGCATCCAGCATCCTTATTTCACAGCTCTGTCCTCTTCTCATCTGATAGGACTCTGTTGTGTTCCCCAGCCTGCCTGAAGCTTCCTGCCTTTCTATCACCATGAGTTGTAAACTATGCAGGGCAGAAATTCATGTGTTTATAAAGCCCCAAATCACTCTTGTAATCCAAATAATGAATGAACACCTCCACCTGGGACAGTAAAGTATAATCTGTTTCTTGGGGGCAATTGCATCCCAGGAATATGTTTGTTCTATATATGAAAAACTCTAAGCCAGCAAATGATTCAGGGTCCCTGATCAGTGCTTCCACAACATGCTTGCTCAAGTCTTCTGAAGTGAGCATTGCTCAGCCAATAACCACAGAAAATCCAGCAAAAATTCCAGCAAAAGCTATTCTATTCATGGAGGGAAAGGCTGAGTACAAACCATGCAGAAAACCCAAACCACTGGGATTTTCAAAGGAAACTCCCAGGACAACCCACACAATGGGATGGGGTCAACTGTGAATTGATCCCCCTTCTCATCACAAGGAGGTCTATTCAATCAGGCCTCTGTTTTCAAGCATTAAGCTCTGCATACCCACCCCATTATGCCACCTTCCCCAACTTTTCTCCTACTTGAGCTATAGAAAAGACAGAGAAGTCAAGAGAGAATCATACAGATTGAATTTCCCTGTATTAACTCCTAGTACCCCCTCTGGATGCTAAATCCAGACATTTCAATAGAAAGAAGGGATTTTAGACTTGATTTATGTGCAAATCCCAACACTTGAATCTAAAGTCACTAAAGAACCTCCATAATAATCTCTGTCTGTGGGCTTGGCTTGCTTTCAAAGTCCTGTGCTTAGGTGCAAAAGGGCATTTGCTCTGTATTTAGAACCTTGTGGGACTGCAAAACCCACGGGGTCATCATACATTCAGCAAGAAAAGAAGCTTCAAGCAAGCTCAAGGGCATCAGAAACAAACATGTCTTCACTGTGACAAGCTATGCCTGTCTCTGGATACTGATACACTCAGCAAACGAATGCATTAGAAAAGGGAATGAGCAAGGAAGGGGTGAGGGATAAGTAGAACGTATATGAAAGTAAAACTACTCGCTGTTTGTTCCAGAGATATTGAACGTTAAGTCAGAGGGAAAGGTAGGCTTTATGGTCAAAAACCAGCAGATGTATTTAATAGGCATGTTTGTTTTGTGTGGTGCTGCTACCTCCCACCAGCAACACTCCAGGAGACATTTCATCCAAAACTCTCAGAGCGTTTTTTAATTATTAAATATAACATCCCACTGACAAGGCTGTGTGAGGTAATAACTTTATTCCCAGTTTACTGATGGGGCGATTGAGTCACCAAGAAGTTAAGTTAGTGAGCAGGAAATCCAGCGAAAAGAAACTCAGGGCAGCTGCCTCCCATCTGCCCACTAAGCTGACTGCTACTTAATTCCTTCATTCTCATCTCCCCTGGTAGCTTCCAGAAGTCCACTTTCATTCCTAAGTAGGTCTAGAAAGTGGGAAATGGCAGACACTATCTTGTCTGGAATGTAAAGTATAGAAACTTTCAGAGGTCCAAAGACAACCTCTTAGTAATTAATTCAATCTTTGTAATGAACTCAGTACTTCCTTGAAGATGGCCAGTCTGTAAAGGATACAGTAATGAAGACAGGAAATCACGTTTCCAAACCACTTTTTGAATCCTCAGAGATAAAAGTTTTCAAAAATCTAAAAGATAGTTCAGTTAACGTAGAGACATAGTTAAACACTACCAGGGGCCATTAAATTAATTTCACTAAATCCCAAATTTACTCTTTCCTATTTAACTCATCAGAATTTTCCCACAAAAGCTAGAAAAGTATTTTTTTTTTCTCCTATGCCTGTGCCCTAAATAAAATTGAGAAGCCAACTCAGTGCCTGAAACGTAGTTGTCATGTGAAAGATCACAGCTTCCCCCAGACCACAGGAACTGCTGTCTGGAAGCAAGGTGGGGTCCGTCCCACATACTGTCCTGCTTATGAAGGTAACAGCCAGTGTCAGAAACTTCAAACAAGGTTAGAGAGAGACTCTTCTAGGTTTGAGAAATTAAGCCATGACCCCACGCTGGCCACTGTTTGCTTTGATACTTGTTGTGCTATACTATGCAGTCACATCAGATGCTGCAGAAGAAGGTCTGTCAGGAGACAAATGCGAAGAAAATAAGCTACCCTAGTACTGCATTTCATCCTGATCTCTAACAGGCCCCTCCTGAGGGATAAGTGTAGTATCATTGCCAGTTATCCTAAATCTGGCTCTTCTGGAAATACACAGAACAGCCCAGCCCTTTCTGAATTTTGATGCACTTTTGCCCTTGATGTTTTCCCACCTGAGTGAGTTCAACAGTTTGAAACTAACTATGGATAATTATTTCCTGCCTCCTTGTTCTTGCTATGAGATGGGGGAAATCAAAGTTCCTGACAAAACTTTTTTATTATTTCTTTTTATTCCTCTCCTTTTGAGGATAAACAGTCACAATCTTTTCTATTATTCTGCTGTGGGAAGGTTTCCTTATGACTTTGTCCTGTCAGACCTCTCTGAACTTCCTCTTACTCCTCAGTAATCTTCCCAAGACAGACCAATACTGCATCCAATATTTTCACGTGAAACCACATCCTCCATTTAAACAAATGTATTACAATGTTCTTTATATTACTCCTCAGGCAGTGTCCTAGCTGCTTACTAAGCAGAATTAGGAACCTTGTAACAGGGACAAAACCTTCCCATAAGTAATACATTCCAACACACAGGTAACAAATTGAAGTGTCCATCCTGCTGCCCATTCACCAAGCACATCCACATCTCCCCAGGGATACCTGCACAGACCTCCCTGGCCACAATCGCTCTAAAAGTAACTTTGTGCCGATCTTTGTATCTTACAAGATACTCCCTCTCTCCAGCTTGTTCATGACTGTATTATACAACATTGGACCAAACACCAAATGTTGATGCACCAGCTGTTAGCCTTTTTCTAGAATGAAAGTTCTTTGTTTCCTTTTGTTATTTGTTTCATCTTTTATTCTGAAAGTTTTGATCCAAGAAAATGCTTTGTTTCTCTTTGGAGGCCTATTACATACCAAGGGTCTTCAGAAAGTCTAAGTAAATTGTCAACCCCTTTGTCTATTAGTCCTTTACATATAATGTAAAGAATTATAAGAAAGTAGTGAAAAGTGCTTTTCCTTGGTAGGAAAAAAAAAAAAAAAAAAGTAGTCAGTTAGAACCTCCTATATCATCATTTCTCAGGTGCTTTACTGCTTATACCTAATTACTGTTTCAATCAATTTCTCAAATGTTCATGTAGAATTTATGAGTCTTTAAATCCTTGAATCACATCCAAATCCTTTTCAAATATAGGTAATAACATTTGCTACCCACTAATTGTTCTAAATTCTTTCTATTGTAACTCTCAGTTTGTATCACAAGCTCTTCTTCAGACATTGCAATTTCAGAGATCATAATCTTTATTACAAGTAATAACTACTAGTAAAAGAACTATAACTAAAAGCTTACTCTTGTACATAAAAATTTTAAGAAGGCTTGTACATAAATTTCCTTTTGATTAGTATTGCAAATGCAATAGCACCTGGTTAGTGTAGGAGATACAGGAAATAGAACCATACAAAATGGAAGTGTCAAGTCAACAAAAATCATCAATGAAAAATAAAATGTTATTTAAGACTTTTTCCTGTTTTAATAAACCACAGTATTATTGGTGTCACAGCTAAATATTGTGCATATATTATAATTCAAATATGTGTGTGTGCATATAATTAAAATTTATGTTTCTTAACTTGGCAGAGTTCCTTTCATAGTAATTAAATTAACATGGTTATTTCTGCTTACCAGCTCTGTGCAGCAACCTCTCTATTTATCAAGGTC